TTTTATTTTCAGCCCAGACCACTCTCCTAAAGTCCCCATTTGCACAACCAACTGCTTCATTAATACCGCACTTGGACGTTTAATGGTTATTTTTAACCAAACAATATTCCTCACTGTCTCTTCTCAACCTTCTCTTTCTACAGCTTTCCACATCTCAGCTGAAGGGGACTCCTTCACAGTCACTCTAGCCAGAATCCTTACGGTTCCTTCTTCATACTCCTCATCCGATCAGTCGGGAGATTCTCCAAATCGGAGCACGCCAACCACCGCAGTATCCTAGTCCCGGCCCCACAGCCTGTACCCGAACCACAGCTCCGGCCTCACACCTGGCCCCAGCGATGTGGACTCCCAACATGGGGCCCAGACAAGTCTCTAAACGCCTAAGCACGTGCCTCTCTGCTGATCAGCTGCTGCGGGCCCTTCTCGCTCAGGGTGAAAGTGGGGACGGCTCCGTGTGGGCCCCCGCGCTGCGTCTCTGTCGCGGTCCGGTCACTCTCCCCCATCTGCTGGCTGCAATGACACGATCCCCTGTCACTCTCCTCCCGTCTGTTGGCTGCAGTGACGGGGGAAGGTTGTGGGTGCTCCCATCCCGGCCCTGTATCCCGTGTGTCTTTGTCTGAAATGCTCTTCCTCCTCTCTGTACGACTGACTGCCCCAACTCCTGGCAGTCTGATCTCCAACGTTACCTTCTCGGTCACGCCTCTCCTGACCCCCTATTTCAAAGTGCAAGCCCCCACCCCTGTTTCTTCCTCTACAGCACCTGCGCTCCCGCCTAGTTCACGACCGACTGCCCGCCCCCCGCCCCTCTGCTGGAGTAGCACCCGCCCGGCACGGCGATCTCTCCTTGTGCGCTCAGTGCCTGACCAGCGCACGGCCCAACAAGTATGTGCTGTGATGAGTGGAAGAACACCCCCGAGCACAAGCCTGTGAGCGAAGCACACAGTGGGAGGGCAGAGGGCTAGGGAAGGGCTGAGGACCCCCTCGCAGGCCTCTAAACTGACGAGCACAGCTGACAGAATCCACGCTCGCTTCTCCAACTCACAGCTCCCGGCCGTGAACTGCCTTATTCCTGCTCGACTCCAACAATCTTCTAACAGGGCAGCTATGACACTTGTACATCTTGGCTCCCCTGCCAGATTTTGGATGGAGAACTCGAAGGGAGCGCTGCTGAGTCACAGACACACGTATGCTTCTTCCACGGCGACCCAAAATGGTCTGTCAACAGCGTAAAGTCCACTTCCAAAACACTGTAATTAGAAGTGGTCACTGAATTACATTTTAAAGTAAAAAGAAATGAGCCTCTGCGGTATAAGAAGCGTGTTAATAAATGTACTTGACTTCGGAGAGCAGAAGGGAGTGCCGGCCTGTGCAGAGGTCAGCTGGGAAGCGGTCCACTTCACGACACGGGTGAATGTGTCATTTATGTGTGTCATTACATGAGCCTCTTAAGAAAAACAGTCTTATTTTTGTTGTTACGCTTTTCTCCCTCCTGAAATAGTATGACCTTCTTAATCAGATTTGGCCCAGAAAGGTCTTTTGCTATTTATGAAAATCAAATTCACCCTCATAGGATAAAGATGACTCACCACGGAGGGTATTCGGAAGAATAAGCTCACATTCTGATGTAAACTCCGAGAGGATTCCAACAAAGGTTACAAACAAAACTTTCCAAAATGACTACTGTGTTCAGGACAACATGCACGCAGGATCTAAAAATCCGCATTACTTCACAGACACACCTTAAATACGGTTCCTGGTAACCATGCCAAGAGACTGCCTTACTGGGAAACACAGCTTGCGGCCAGGCGACCAGTGATGTCCTCTACCCCTCGCCTGTTCCCAGGACACCTGAGTGCTCTAATTTCCTTCTCTCTTTTTTAATGTAGGGAATGGTCAATGCCAGTAGGAATTATTAAGCATTCTTTTCCTGAAAAGTTTCTAAGAAAAGAATGTTAGTCACCATGTGAACCAAATGATCAAAATTACTGTCACCCAAAGTGGGATAACCCAGTATCAAGTGCCATCAAATAAAATGAAAATGAAAAGCAGAGCATGGCCCGTTGAGTATTCTTGGCAAAATATTTTAACCTAGATCTAAAGTTGAGGAAATGACTCAGTCAAATCCAGAATGTGCAAATGTCAGCAACATAATTTGCCTAAATTCTTAAAAAAAAAAAAAAAAAAATTTGTTATAAAAAACAAAGAAATGGAAGACTTGTCTAGATTTAAAAAACAAAACCACCCCCGCCCCTCCCCGCCAATATATCCAACCAAATGCAACAGGTTTGACATTTAACTGGATCCTGAATTGAAAAAGCAAAGCCAGGGGCCCCTGGGTGGCTCAGTCAGTTAAGCATCCGACTTTGGCTCAGGTCATGATCTCACGGTTTGTGAGTTTGAGCCCCACGTCGGGCTCTGTGCTGACAGCTCAGAGCCTGGAGCCTGCTTCCGATTCTGTGTCTCCCTCTCTCTCTGCTCTTCCCCCCTCATGCTCTACCTCTCTGTCTCTCTCTCTCAAAAAATAAATAAAATGTTAAAAAATAAAATAAAATAAAACACGAATCAAAAATAGGCATGATGTAGGGAGCTTTAGTGACTGTAACGTGAACGCACAAGTGAACCAGTGCCTGCACCTGTTTCACGTGAACGTGAACGTGGCCGCCGTGGAGTTCTATGCTACACGGGCCATGCGATGCTGCACAGCCTTACATGCCGAGCTACCAACCTGAAAGCTTCATTATATTGAGCAACTGAAATACATTCCCTCAGACTCAGGAGAAAAGAAAGAGACAGAAAGCTATCCTTTATAAACAGACAAGAAAATCTTCAAGCATTCTGACTTTTATGCCACACAAATTCATTTAATAAAAATTTTAGAAATACTTGTAACCATGAGGATATACAGTCCAAATCAAATCAAATTAGCAATAAGTGGGTCCTAGTTCACAGGCCCCGACTGAGGAGAACCCTAAGGAACTTGAGTGTGCCGGGAAGAAAACGCTCCTTTCTAACCCTCAAAAGACACAGACGTGTGTGAGTGCCGACGGAAGGCACCAATGCCACGGTGATCAGGCTTCCTGGGTCTAACCCATCCCAAGGGTCCTCTGGTGCAACCGTTCGACCTTCTTGGGGTCTGAACACAAAATATTTCCTCTCCAAGACACGACAGATAGAAAGTACGTTACCGAGTTCACCTTCCTCCCACCCTCTAACCGAAACATCAGACACCACCGTGTTGGTCTATAGGTGCTGCTGTAACAAACGATCACAAACTCACTGGCTTCTAACCACAGAAACGGTCTTCCCTCACAGTTCTAGGGGACAGGAGTCTACATCCAGGCGCTGGCCTCCTCCGGACGGCTTGGAGGAAGGACATCCCGGCGTCCTGTGGCAGCCAGCGGTCCTGGGCTTTCTGCCCTCACAGGCGCCTCCCTCCCACCTCTGTCTCCAGGCGGCCCTCCCGCTTCTCCTCTCTCTTCTCTTCTTGTAAGGACACTTGTTAGTAGTTTTTAGGTTCATTCAGATAATCCAGACCGAGGTCATCTCAAGATCCTTGTCTGCAAAGACCCCTTTTCCAAATAAGGTCACATTCACAGGCCCCATGCTGACCTGTCTCTGGGGGGTCGCCGCTCCCCTATAGTTACTATCTTTCTAGGGCTGGTTGTAGCCTAGTTAGCAATAAATGCATGCTTCTTAAAAGAACTTTAGACACATATCATATCATCCTTTCTCTAAATCTTTTATTTCCAGTATTAGTTATCTGATAATTCTTTTCAATTGGATCCATTTCCATATAAATCCTTTTGTAAGTGTTTTCATTAGTCACTGTGGAAAAAACTGGCCTGGTGGAACAGGTAGGTATTTAAATGCTACAAGAATAGCATTTTCATGGGTTACCGAGGTGGAAACCTTCTAGTGAGTCTGACACATTGACCTACTGGTCACCACTTTCACTGAATTGTGTTTTAATTCCTACTTATACACCTAATCAGTATACCCTTATACGCATAAGGTTAAACACACAGTTTTCATCTATTCAGGTACAAACATGACTACTCAAACGATGCTTTTAATTTTTACACCGTTACTGTTATCTCATTCACATACTGCTAAATCACCAACACGCACATCTCAAATGAGGTCTACATTCTCAGAGAGCGACTTCACGAGACAGGAACAGCTCCAAGTTCTCTCATCAGACAAAAGAACCAAAATTTCCGACTTACTGGGTGATGCGAGATTTCATTATCATTGTCGGAAAAATTACTTTCTTCAGTGAGTCTTCCAAAAGAAGCAGTTCACCTATCTTTTTCTGCAGTGACAGGAGAAACACCTTGGGGAGCCTGGGTGGCTCAGGCAGTTAAGCGTCCGACTCTTAAGCGTTCGGCTCAGGTCGTGATCTCACGGTTCGTGAGATGCGCCCCCGCGTCAGGCTCTGTGCTAAGCACGGAGGCTGCTTGGGATTCTCTCTCCCTCTCTCTCCCCCACTCACTCGCTCTCTACCTCTCAAAATAAATAAACTTAACAAAAAAAGAAGAAACACCTCAGCTCCAAATTCAGGCCATCCACTGACCCCAACCTTTGCCCTGCTGCAGGGAAATCAGAAAAGCTGGCACGAAGCCTGGGTATCCCCGCCGCCCCTCCGATGGGGTCTGTGCGGGCACCTTTCTGAGGGCACGTACGTTCATATACCCACACGAAGTTTCAAATTATCAGTGCAATCTCCAAGACTAATGTGGCTGATGCAATAATTGAAAAATTAAGAAACTGTACAGAAAAGCACAGGAGACCCCGCAAGCAGACAGCAACGGCCAACACACCCGCCGCCATCTTCCCGTCTACCTAAGCTAAAAGAGCACATGGCGAACGGGGACTTCGCTACAAAAGCAAATGGTACAGCGTTAGTCCCTTTATCCAAAATGTTGCCTCTTCAATTAACGTATTTTGGCCTTATGCCCTGTTGTTGAGAAGAAATCAAGATGGGTGTGAATAATTCATACCTCCACCGGGAATAATTGCCAACTTTGTTTCAACCAAGCCCATTTTCGCAGAGGAAGCTGAAAAGGAAGGAAGAAAATTAAGTAACATCCGGATCATATATTCAAACATTATGACTTGAAGAAGTTAGTAAAATAAGCTACACATACTCTGTTTACTAATTAAACTCATGTCACAAATCTTTTAAAAAGTCACTTCAGAAGGCATTTGGTTACGGAAATAGGTAAACACTCTAAATGATAAATATATTAAGAGGTTCACATAACCTTTTCTGTTAAAAATTGCTCGGCAGCGAATTAATTTTTGATGCAGAAAGGCCAGGGCTATGACTACATAATTTGACCGGATGCTGCCAAGTCACGTTTGAAGGCTTAGACCCCGCTAACGATTGAGGACAAGGAGAGAGGCTTCTGACAAGCAGGAATATTCTTCAGCTGCCTGAAGAGTCCTCGAAGCCAAACAGCTTAATATATCACACCAGATACGGCACCTTTTCAGGACCAAATCTCCAGTCACTTCTGACAAACGGTTTTACTGTTCCGACAGCCGGGCAGGGTTCCTCTTTCCGCATTTTGCTTTCACGACTACTTTAACACATCTTAATTATTTATTTGCACATCCAAACATACTTGGACCACTTCCCTTATCCTAATTCCCAGAATCTGCACCCTTTGAGAAAAGGGCTTCACGGACTTTAACTTCTCCATTTAAAACTCAGGATTTGAGACAATTAGGGATCCGAAGGGGAAAGTCCACGTGGACCAGCAGCTACCAACCCCAAGAAACAGTCAAAACTTACTAAAAACGTCATCATATTGACCCTACTTTCAACAGGCAGCTGCTTCAGAAGTGACAGCAGGAGCCAGGAGAGGTCGGTGACATATATCTGCTGCCTGTTTCGCCCGGTCCTTGGGCCTGGGGCCCCTGTCCATCACCCCAAAGTGACCGTCTGGCGGCAGCAGTCTCCAGGGCTCTGGCAGGACACCAGGCGTGACGGCCCTGGCACGGGAGTGCCTGGGTTAGCGTCCCAGCCCGGTCACTGACCCCGGGTGCCCTGCGTCTCCTCTCTGGGCCCGAGCCTCCGCAGGGACCGAAGCACCCTTCGCACAGCGCCATTTGGCCAATTGAGCGACTTAATGCAGGTCAAGTGCCGAGACTAGTATGAGGGCCAACATTCAGCACTCGGTCAGCATTAATTGTTTTCCCTGTCATTTTCATGATCACCTCATCCAACCTTCAGGAGACCGAGCGAGAAGTGGACCTCAGGGAGGTGAAGCTGTCATGACGCAGCAAACCAGAGGTAAGTGCTGGGGCCGGGCACGTGCCGCACGTCAGCTCACCCAATCTCCACCACGGCCCCTGCTGGTCCCCCATTGTAGAGGAGCCGATGGCTCTGAGAGGGGCAGGCCCTGCGGTTCAAATTCAGGTCCGCCTGCCCAATTCCGGATCTCCCCTCCCCGGCCAAGACTAACAAGAGACTGGACCTGACTCTTTCCTTAACTGGGAATCTTCAACACTCCCTTCAGCCCAATGGGTGACTTTTTCTAAATGCTCTACTCAACGAGAGGAAAAGAACAGAACACATCATTTGGAATTATCTGAAGATAACCGCCAGGATTAATTCTCACCTGCTACACGTATGTCACATGCTAGGGCCAGCTCAAGGCCGCCCCCCAGAGCAAGTCCATCTATTGCTGCAATCGTCGGCACTGGAAGATTAGCTGAAATAGAAGGAAAGAGGTTATGTTTCTTCAGGAAGATGGTCACCTTACGATGCAATCTATGTTACTTGTTTTTAACTGGGATACTGTCCAGAGAACTTTGCATCCCTTTTGCCTTTAACAAAAGAGTCATTTCCCTCATCATGATTCTTCAAAACCATGCACTGTTAGAGAGTTCCACCATATAGATATGCACTAATATCTTAACTCCTCCCATATTACAGAAATACTTTCCTAAATACTTTTTGTCGAATTAACACAATCACAGTTCTGGCTGTAATCTTAGAGCCTGGAGTCTTTTATGAGATGCTCGGTTCATACACACTCCTATTCGAAATGACTTAGGTGTGACTGCGAAATTTCTAATCCTTCAAGAACTACCCTGGTACTCAGAATGACAGTCTCATTCAGCAGTAACATGCCTCTCCATTCAAATCGGCCAGGAGGAAGTCAAACTCTCACTCTTCACAGACAACATGATACTCTATGTGGAAAACCCAAAAGACTCCACCAAAAAACTGTCAGAACTGATAGACGGATTCGATAAAGTCGCAGGATATAAAATCAAAGTACATAAATCTGTGGCATTTCTATACACCATAACGAAGAAGCAAAAAAAGAGAAATCAAGGAATTGATCCCATTTACAATTGCACCGAAAACCATAAAATACCTAGGAATAAACCTAACCAAAGATGTAAAAGATCTGTACTCTGAAAACTACAGAAAGCTTATGAAAGAAACTGAAGAAGACACAAAGAAATGGAAAAACATTCCACGCTCACAGACTGGAAGAACAAATATCGTTAAAATGTCGATACTTCCCAAAGCAATCTACATATTCAATGCAATCCCTATCAAAACGACACCAGCAGTCTTCAGAGAGCTAGAACAAACAATTCTAAAACTAGTACGGAACCAGAAAAGACTCTGAAGAGCCAAAGTAATGTTAAAACAGAAAACCAAAGCTAGTAGCATCACAATCCCAGACTTCAAGCTGTATTACAAAGCCATAATCATCAAGACAGTATGGTACTGGCACAAAAACAGACACTCAGATCAATGGAACAAAATAGAGAACCCAGAAATGGACCCACAAATGCATGGCCAACTAATCTTTGACAAAGCAGGAAAGAATGTCCAATAGAAAAAAAGATGGTCTCTTCAGCAAATGGTGTTGGGAAACTGGACAGTAACATGCAGAAGAATGAACCTAGACCAATGTCTTATACCATACACAAAAGTAAACTGAAAATGGATGGAAGACCTAAACGTAAGACAGGAAACCATCAAAATCCTCAAGGAGAAAGCAGGCAAAAACTGCCCTTGGCCGCAGCAACTTCTTGCTAGACATGTCTCCAGAGGTAAGGGAAACCAAAGCAAAAATGAATCATTGGGCCCTCATCAAGATACAAACCTTCTGCATGGTGAAGGAAACAATCAACAAAACTAAAAGGCAACTGACGAATGGGAAAAGATACCTGTAAATGACAGTATCAGATAAAGGGTTAGTTTCCAAAATCTATGAAGAACTTATCAAACTCCACACCCAAAAGGAAATAATCCAGTGAAGAATTGGACAAAAGAAATGAATAGACACTTTTTAAAAGAAGATATCCAGATGGCTAACACACGATATCCAGACACATGAGAAGATGCTCAACTCACTCATCATCAGGGAAATACAAATCAAACCACCATGAGATACCACCTCACACCTGTCAGAATGGCTAAAATTAACAACTCAGGAACAACAGACGTTGGCAAGGATGTGGAGAAAGGGGAACCCTCTTGCACTGTTGATGTGAATGCAAACTGGTGCAGCCGCTATGGAAGACAGTGTAGAGGTTCCTCAAAAAATTAAAAATAGAACTACCCTATGACCCAGCAATAGCACTGCTAGGGATTTATCCAAAGGATACAAAAATGTTGATTCAAGGGGCACATACACCCCAATGTCTATAGCAGCACTATTTCCAAAGCATGGAAAGAGCCCAAATGTTCATCAACTGATGAATGGATATTAAATAAGATGTGGTGTGTATATGTATGTATACGTACACACACACACATACACAATGTATATTACACACACATACATACATACACACACAACGGAATATTACTCGGCGATCAAAAAGAATGAAATCTTGCCATCTGCAATAACGTGGATGGAACTAGAGTGTATTATGCCAAGTGAAGGAAGCCAGAGAAAGATAAATATATGATTTCACTCATGTGTGGAATTTAAGAAACAAAACAGCTGAACATATGGAAAGGGAAGGAAAAATAAAAAGAAAGAAGGAGGCAAACCATAAGAGACTCTTAAACACAGAGAACAAACTGAGGGTTGCTGGAGGGAGGGTGGGGGGATGGGCATCACTTGTGACGAGCACTGGGTTCTGTACGTAAGCAATGAATCGCTAAGTTACATTTCTGAAATCATTGTTACACTATGTCACCTAGCTTGGATTTAAATAAAATTTTAACAATAATTACACCATAAAGAAAACCAAACTCAGAAGCCTTTCACAGCAGGCAGTGGCTGTGTGGGTGCGGCCGGGGCACCAGGCACCTCTCCCGCTGAGGAGCGAGCACAACCGGGCAGCTAGGAAAGGACCAGCTCCACCAACGGGCACGCTCACACGGAAGAGGCTCTCAGTTCCGAGACCCTGCCCAGAAGCACGGCTGGGGAGCCGTCAGCCAGCCACAGAGCTCAAAACTAGACTTTCTCCGGCCCCGAGTATTACTTTCAGGAGGCTTCTGTACAGAAGTCTTTCATAACTGGTTCAAAAACTACTGGTTAATTATTCTGCGAAGCAGACTCCTTATTAATTTTGACGATGGGAATGTGAAGCGAGGCCGGCCAAACTTCTTATGGTATAAACAGAATGTGGTACATCTCTTACTGCTCTGACGACGAATAAGAAATAATAATCACGTGTCCTGGCTGCTGCTACAGGGACAGTCATACCGTAACATGCAAACACAGCAACACGTACATACCTTAAACTTACATGATATTATATAGCAATTCTACCTTGGTTTTTAAAAATAAATAAAATGTGAGGAAGGAAGCAAGGAAGTAAATAGACACACAGAGAGTACCATCCCTCAAAATCTCTCTTCCGCAGGTATTCTGAAATAGGAAATTCCAGTCAGAGAGGTTCATTCTTTGACTCCTTTTAAAATACACAAATTTGTTGAAGTCCACGGAGTGTTGTTCACACATGGAGGAATTTATCGGCTTTATTTTAAGAGCAAAGGGTGACCAGGCCCGGACGGGGCCCATTCCCAGGCTGCCACGGAAGACCAGAGTGTTCCCGGGAGCGCAGGGACGGACTGGGCTGTGGAACAGGTGCGCTCCACCCGTCTGTACCTGTCTACGCATTCTGGGGGGAAGTGAGGGTGTGAGAGGCCAGGCCAGACTCACACGTGCTCCCCAGAGTGCACTTCACAGCACACTCGGTGACAAAAGAAACAGCCAGCCACGTCAGGGTCTACAGTCAGGAAATGAATTTAATGGAAAACCAGGATCCAGTTAATTTTGTCTGACAAAAAAAAAAAAAACCACAAACAAATAAACATCGATCAAGAATATAACAGAAAGCTAATCTGAGTGGCTCCAAGGTCACCTCAAGTCACGACAAGCCAAACGGAGTTTTTGCTACTCGGCCCTCAATCCTTTCTTCCTACAGGCCTCGGGTATTTCTAGGTCCCTCTAGTCTCCCACCTCCCCAGTCTCCCGTCTCTGCCATCAGAACCTTTCCCTGGGCCTCCTTCCGGCCTTGGCTCACGTCCTTCTAGGACCAGCTTCCCGAGGAAGGACAGTAAATGATGCCCCCACCGTCCCTCGCCCCCACCGCAGAGCCTCAGTCCCCCCCCCCCCCCCCCCCCCCCCACCCCGGTCTCTCCAAACCCGCTCTTGCTTTTGCTTGCCAGTGACACTGTGCGGCTGTCCTGCAACCAGTGGGCGCTATCTGGTCCCTATTAAACCTGCTGCCTCCGATGATCAGGCATTCGTGCTGGGCACTCCTCTGTGAGTTCCTCTCTTCGACTGCCTGGCGAGTCCCTGTCAACTTTCCTGTCTTTCCTTCACCTTCTGGTTATTCCTCAGCCTTCTTTCCCTCTCAACAGAAGCTCCCCAGGAGGTCTCATTCCCACCGGTAACCTTCACCATCTACAATACCAATGATGGCCAGATGTCCCTCTCAAACCCAAACTTCAGTCTCAACTGCATGTCTGTAAGCACCTGCCTGTTGGGACATCGCCACTTGAACGCTTTATCGTGTTCAAGCCAGCTTGTCAATCCTTCTTCCAGATTCTCTTTCACACCTGGCAGTACTTCCATCCACCAACTTCCCCCAGACAGACACCCAGAAGTCGTCACGGAAGGCCTCCTTTCCACAGCTCACAAATCTCCAAGTCCCCCCCCCCCTTTCCTGCAGCCGGAGTTCTGGGTCCCCTCATTTCTCACCGGCGTACGTCTGGGCCTGCGACTGGCTGGCCCCTTCCTGTGCATCTTCCCTATTTCTTGCAGTATAATCGTTCTAAACGGCAAACGCCGTCATGCTACCCGCTTCAGAACTGTACGATGATTTGTTCCACACTCGGGATAAAAACGGAGAAGACAATTAGCATGGGACAGAAGACACCCGATAAACGAGGTTCTGTCCACCAGCCCGACCTCTTCTCCAGCCTCAGGCACATAGTCCACGTTCTGGCCCCAAGCTACTTACAGCACCTGCAGAAGCTGTCCCAGCCATACCTGCGGACAAGCTGCCCTGTGCCCTGATCGCCCAGCCCACAACGACGGGCCGTGCCAGGCACTGCTCACAGCCCCTTCCTTTGCACTCCAGGGGGCTCGGTACCCGCTTGTCCATCAGAGCACTTACCACCCTACCGCCCGTTCCGGAACGGACGTTCACGTCGCACCGATGCCGGTCGATGACACTCTTCTTTCTACTCTGGGACCGCCTCTTCTGTCTCTAGCGCATGCCG